TAAAAAATTATTAAAATTAAACTATTTAAATATATAATAATATTATTATAAATAAAATAGAATATATAAAATAAAAATAAAATGATTAAATAATTTAAAAATTAAAAGAATAAAATATCATAAATATTATTTAAATAAATTATTAAAAATATAAAATATAAAAAACTGTACCAGTACCCTCTCAAATTACATGAGTACCATAGAATTTCTAAAAAATATATTAACATGGCACAAGAGATACACACTTAGAATTAGTAGTTACAGTCTATATTTAAAAGACTGAAATATAATAAATAGAAGGTAACCAGCCATACATTGAAATACCTCCCCTGTATTAATATCCTAACCAAAACCCATTATCCATTTGTCTCCAAGCCAAGCCAGTGATATGTACTGTCATATATAGTGAACCAGCAAAACTGCTCTCCATGTGATTAAATACTCTCCACATGACATAATTTCTAACAGAGATTAATAAATCACCAAATCAAGAGACTCGACAATAGCAAAAAAGTGTGTCTTCTGCACGTTTTATATAAAACTTTTACGTGGAAATATCAAGTCAAAGTTCAAGGTACGTATACAGTTTGCAGCTAGCCATCTACAAAGCAAGTGCAGTATTTTGTGGCCCTTAAAGTATAACGTAACACTTTAATAAAGTGAAAAGCTATACACAAAATACTGATAAATGTATATACCTACTTACTCTTAAATCTAATTAGGTATACACCAGCCTTTTTACTCAAACTTTATGATAAATGCATCCCTATTTGTGTACTTATTTATAGGTTCGCTTTAAGAAAATGTCACTTTCCCTGTAATGTTTAATTGTTTAGCCTCAAAAAGAAAAGAAGATAAGCTATTTATGATTATAGGTGTGAAAATCTTAACAAAAGTAAAGGGAAACGAAAGTATACATGCAAACATATGCAAAGGGAATGGAAAGAATATGCATGATACTCCATTCTTTTCATTTTTTTTTTAATTTTATGCGATTTATTATAGAGTTAATGAATATAACAATGTGGAAATAGGTATAATTCTTTATATGATTTATGTAAGTAGGTATATATATTTTTTTTTTTGGTCCCAAAAAAATAAATAATTTCCTTTTGACATCTTATTTATAAAAAATATAAAAAAACGTGTTAGATATTATCTTTGTAATTATTTTTTTTTTTTTTAAGATCTCCTTTTAGTCATTCATTTGTAAAATTAACAACTAAATAACACATCTTCACGAACGAGGGGGTTAAGAAAACGAAGATTTATTTTAAAGAGACTAAAAATGAGCATGATCTTATATGTAGGAACTAAGATCTTATGATTGATTATAGTTCAAAAACTAAATTTAATATACATTATTATATTTGGGATCGCAACTGGACAACACAGAAAATAAATTTAATAAGAGTTGTCAACAACATTTATTTTTAAACAAAAAAAAAACTATTTCAAAGGAAAATAGTATCCAAAACTTGATTTTCAGGTGTGGAAATTTAGATAATTTTATAAAATAAAACAAGAACATTTTGGAATATTTTATTTACTATTTATTGAACGCAAGTATTTTTATTATTTAAAACAAATTTTATCAATTTTGAAAAGAGAGAAAATTAAGAAAATTTATTTTTTAACTCGGATAAAAATTATTTTTCAAAAAAAAAAAAACTCGGATAAAAATTAATTTTAGTCCCTCTAAATTTTTTTAATTTATTATTAGTCTTTATTTTTTTTATTAAATTAATTACTCTAAAAATGAAACATGTTGAGGTCAGTCCTCTAACCGTATAAATAAAGATTGACCTCAACATATTTTGTTTTTAAAGAGATTAATTTAATTGAAAATTTTAAATGACTAAAATTGAATTTTAAAAAAATTAGAGAGATTGAAAGTAATTTTTACCCATTTAACTTGACAAGGGTTGCTTCTGCTTTGTATTTTCAAATATATCAAGAAAATTAAAAGTTACATAATTTTAGAGAATGTTTCTGTCAAGAATTTTAATTTTTATTTACTTTTTTAATTTAAAAGAATTTTACGATAACCAAACAAACTAAAATGCATATTACTGAATCTTTTTAATTAAGACTTTCATAATAACCAAATAAAAAAAATGTTCAAAATTATTATTACTCGACCTTTTAGTTTTTAATTAAGACTTTTGCAATAATCAAATAAGAAACGCATCTAAATAGTAGTAGGCCTCGGAATAATATCCATATGATCATAAATCCGAAATTACAATTATTTTTATTCCAATAGA